AGCAAAGGAAGCTACAGACAAGATGAAAAGACAACCCTCAGAATGGGAGAAAATATTTGCAAATGAATCAACAGACAAAGGATTAATCTCCAAAATATATAAACAGCTCATGCAGCTCAATATTAGAAAAACAGACAACCCTTTGCAAAAATGGGCAGAAGAGCTAAATAGACATTTCTCCAAAGAAGACATACAGGTGGCCAAGAAGCACATGAAAAGCTGCTCAAGATCACTAATTATTAGAGAAATGCAAAGCAAAACTACAATGAGGTATCACCTCACACCAGTCAGAATGGGCAGCATCAGAAAATTTACAAACAACAAATGCCGGAGAGGATGTGGAGAAAAGGGAACCCTCTTGCACTGTTGGTGGGAATGTAAATTGATACAGCCACTATGGAGAACAGTATGGAGGTTCCTTAAAAAACTAAAAATAGAATTGCCATATGACCCAGCAATCCCACTACTGGACATATACCCAGAGAAAACCATAATTCAAAAAGACACATGCACCCCGATGTTCATTGCAGCACTATTTACAGTAGCCAGGTCATGGAAGCAACCTAAATGCCCATCGACAGACAAATGGACAAAGAAGATGTGGTACATATATACAAAGGAATATTACTCTGCCATAAAAAGGAATGAAATTGGGAGATTTGTAGAGACGTGGATGGATCTAGAGACTGTCATACGGAATGAAGTAAGTCAGAAAGAGAAAATCAAGTATCATATATTAACGAATATATGTGGAACCTAGAAAAATGGTACAGATGAAATGGTTTGCAGGGCAGAATAGAAACACAGGTGTAAAGAACAAACATATGGACACCAAGTGGGGAAGTGGTGGTGGTGGTGGTGGGGTGAATTGGGAGACTGAGATTGACATGTATACACTAATATGTATAAACAGATAACTAATAAGAACATGCTGTATAAAAAAATAAGTAAAAATTTAAAAATTAAAAATAAAACTGCACTAAGATACTATTTTTGCTTGATCATATTGGCAAAGATCCAAAAGGATGGGAAGGCTCTCTGTTTTGGCAAAGGTGTAAGAAACAGCCACTCTTATGCATTGCAGATAAGAAGCTTCATGTGGTGTAAACTTGGCAATATCTGTAATATAAATACACATATCCTGAGACCCAGAAATTCCATGAGCAGGAATTTATGCTACAGCTCATCTCTGCCAAGAAGGTAAATGACCTTACAACACTGTTTGTAAACAGTGTAAAAGGCAGTAAAACTAAGTGTCCGTCAATGGGGAATGGCTAAAGAAATGGTAGCCCATACAGTGGGGTCCTCCGTAGCCACTAAAATGAGAAAAGAGCAGAAAAAGATCTCCAAAACATACATTGCTAGGTGAAATAACAAGGCAGTAGAACCGTGTGTAGAGTATGCTACCATCTGTATAAAAATCAGTGGGGAAAGAATAGAGGTATTTTCTTATAGTTGCGTAAAATAGTTCTGAAAGGGTAACAAGAAACCTGTAACACCGGCTTCCTGTAGAGAGAACTAGGTGGTGGGGGAATAGGAATAGGAGGGAGATTTTTATGTACAGCCTTTTCAATTTTGAACCGTGTGATAGTATATCCTATCCAACACTTAAATTTAAAAAGATATATGTATGAACAAAAAGAAAACTAGTCACATGAGACAGAAATGAAGACCTTTATTAGTCTCCTGCTTTAACTATGCATAGGGTGATTTGTACTGTCTAAGAATCCAAAGTCAAGATACAAATTCTATTTTTAAAGATTTTCTAACATTGCTCAATAAAGTAAGCCTCTAGACTTTTTAAATTTTATTTATTTATTTATTTATTTTTTGGCTGCGTTGGGTCTTTGTTGCTGTGCACGGGCTTTCTCTAGCTGCCGCGAGTGGGGGCTACTCTTCATTGCGTTGCACGGGCTTCTCATTGCGGTGGCTTCTCTTGTTGCGGAGCACGGGCTGTAGGCGCGCGGGCTTCAGTAGTTGCGGCACGTGGGCTCAGTAGTTGTGGCTCATGGGCTCTAGAGCGCAGGCTCCGTAGTTGTGGCGCGTGGGCTTAGTGGCTCCGTGGCACGTGGGATCTTCCCGGACCAGGGCTTGAACCTGTGTCCCCTGCATCGGCAGGCGGATTCTTAACCACTGCTCCACCAGGGAAGTCCCAGCTTTTAGACTTTTAAATGCAAAAGGCTGTTGGAGTTTTGGCTCCCACTTAGGGTGTAGAACTCTGCAAAAAGCATTGCTCTCACCCTTACCCCCCAAAATGCCAAATCATTTACAAAAGGACCCCTTTTCTTGAACTCATCAGAGAACTGAGAGGGAAGGCAAAAAACTAAGCTGAAATCTAAGGCATAATAGATACCTCCAAGGAGAGATGGATCACAGGTCCTTGCTTACCTGTTATAGATGTTGGATGCCATACAAGAAGGAAAGAAGAATCCAACCAAACTTCTTAATGAACTACTAAAGGCCACATGTGGGGCCTGTGGGAATGTATAGCCCCCTTGGGAGCTGCAGACTTCAGGGAAATCCACACCCGCTTGCAGGCTCTTCTCCATGGAACACACCGGATGCTCACAAGAAAGAGCGGGGGAGGTTAAGAGACCTGGGAAGACCTCTCTCTTGGTTCAGGTCTGGGGAGGGGGAACAGTGCTTCTAGAAAAGCATGAAGTTCCACCCAGATCCTTCTCCCCATATCCCTTATGGAAAAAATATATAACCATTGGGGAAAGGGCAGCCAACCATGTTGTCCTTAGGGCACAGGATCCATGGCAGCTGGGAGAAGAGTAAAACCCTCTACCCTGGGGGTGAGGGGCAAGACTACCTGCAGACCAGTAAGTCCCCTACTGATGGGGGAGGGACAGAATCACTGAACTATCCCCCATCCAAGACACAGCACCTGCCTAAGACTGAAACTGAAGCAGAACAGCAGAGGCTGCCTCCCGACTCCCACTCCATCCCAACCACAGGCTAGCAAGTGTTGAGTAAGAGCTAACAGCAGTCCATCGCTGGGGGATGATCGAGGGCAGGAAGAGAAATGTTCCCTAAGAGGGAGCAAAGGTGCAAAGAGAAGCCCTAAAGTGAGGGCCTGTTATTGTGTCAGTTCACCCCAAGATGATCTGTGTGCTGCTGTCCAATAAAACTCCCTGCAAAGACTGTTAATAGCAATTAACGGGCTACTGCCAACGTTTATATGGGAAGGCAGAGGAGCTTGAATAGCGAAAGCAATTTCGAAAAAGAGGAAAGCTGGAGGAACTGACTTATCTGATTTCAAGACTTACTAAACTATCTATGAAGCTACGGTAATGAGGTTGGTGTGGTTTTGGAGGAAAATATAAATATTAATAATAATACTGTATAATAATAATGTATTTATACTAATGTTCATAAGTATAAATATATAAAATATATACAAATAAATATATGATATATATTCTATATGTATGTATACTTCTGGAAAAAATGTATCTTATGTAATATATATTTATATAATATAAAATATATTTTTATGTGTAATATATATATATATACACACATCAATCAGTGGTACAGAAGAAAGAATCCAGAAATAGATCCACATTTTTATTTTTCTTTTTTTGGGCCACGCCATGCAGCATGTGGGATATTAGTTCCCCGACCAGGGATTGAACCCATGCCACCTGCAGTGGAAGTGCAGAGTCTTAACCACTGGACCACCAGGGAATTTCCAAGATCCACATATTTAGTCAACTGATTTTCACAAAAGTACAAAGGCAGTTCAATGGAGAAGGATGCTCTTTTTAATAAATGATGCTAAAACAATTGAATATCCATATGCAAAAAAAGTAAAAAGCAAACCTCAAGCCATAGGTCCCACCCTATACAAAAATTACCTCAAGATGACTCTAAACGTACCTAAATGTAATACCTAAAACTGTAAAGCTTCTAGAAGGAACATAGAAGGAAATCTCCATGACTTTGGCTGCCTGACACTCACACCCGGAATCTGTGCACAGCTACAGAGGCCTGAGTCCTGTTTCCCCATCTCCTACCTCCCTGATTTACTTCCTGGAGAGATTTGCAGGTTGCTGGTTATTTTCATGTGAATGCAGAGCTGAAGGTGTTCATCCTTGTAATAGTTCATCTTATTGCTTCTCAAGCTTGCCCTGCCATCCTGAACTTGGCTTCGGGTTTCTCACTCCCACACTCAGCTTTGGGTCAGCTGTGAGCCTGGTCTGTCTTCTTGGCAACTCCATCAAAGTCAGAGAGCAAACTGCTCATTGCAGCCCCTGGCTGGTGCCCCCTGGGGCCTTCTCTCTTGCCCTCAGTCAGTTTTCCTCCTATTAAGCACGTGTTCAGTGAAGTTGCAAGAGAAAAAAAATAAGCACCCAAACCCACAATTTCTTCGCTGTGGGTTTGGTCATTTATTCAATTCCTCTCAATTCTCTCAGTCTATCCGCCTTTCTGTCTGTTTATCCATTACGTTACCTAGGCCTGAGTCAGCTACAGAGTCTCAGAATAGCAGTTGTTGAACCAAATGTCTGCCTTGCTGTGTGCGTGTGTGTGTGCATGGGTGTGTTTATACAGAAGTGTGGAAGAGGCAGGAGCAGAGGCAGGAAGACATGAATAGGAATGAGAAACTTTTTTTTTCTTGGAGGGAAAGAGCCAGAAATTACATCCGTTCAAAAATATCCTGCCTCTCTCACAGATAAATATAGTGACATGGGTAGATGTGTCACCGAATGAAACTTTCAAAACAAATCCGGGAAGAATCACTTGAAGAGCCTGCCACTGCTGGCTCTGTCCTGCTGCCCCTCTGTCCGCCGTCCCCACCCCCGCACCGGTGCGCGCCACAACGATCAGGACGGAGAGCGAGATGGGAGGTCTGTGCCCAGCATCCCCCAGCATTCTGGACAAGGGGAAGGGTAGCAGGAGCAAAGGTGCCCTTCAAGGGCTGCTGGCCAGAGGCGCTAGGTCGCCAGATGTCCCCCACAGGGAAGAGCTTGAGAGATCACTTCTCTCTGTTACAGGGGAGTGAAAGCTCAGAACGGGAGGGCAGCCCCATGGGCTCATATCCACCAGCTGTGGTGGCTGAAGCTGGAGCTAAGGACCATGACTTGGACACAAGGGTACCATTAAAATCATTTGGCCACCAGTACAGCAGAGGCACCTACCAGCCCTTGACAAAGGGGAGGTACGGTCACCACCACAGCTCTGCATGCCAGCTGAGACTCAGCTCCCCTTAGACCCACGTGCAGTCAGTTCTTCCAGTGGCCCTATGAGGTAGGTATCGTCATCCTAGTTTTTAGATGGGGAGACTGAGGACAGGAGTGATTCAGTGATTAATCCAGGGTCCCATGGTTGGTCATGGCAGAGCTGGGCATGGCCTCTTCTGAGAGTGTCATGGGAGACCACCCTGCCTCCACATATAAGAGCGTAGAAGCCCTGCTGCCCCGCCCCCAGCCCAGCCCAGCCCTGTCTGTTGGCAGAAGCCTCGGCCAGCTGCGGTCACTGAAGGGGCAGAACCTGCGTCCTAAGCCCTGCAGGAACAGAGGGTTGTCAGATCATCGTGGGTCCTCGAGGAGGAAGGATAGAGCCATTTTGCACTTGTGAGCTTCTCGGTACCTAATACTCCCCTCACCTCCTGACTCAGCCTGGACCCCTCCGTCCAGTGCATCTGTCCCTCCACCTCTGCCACGGGCCTGGGACACCTCTCTTACCTGGCCAAGCAATAGCACCTTCAGCTTATCAGCTCTGAGCGCCGTTGAAAACTTTCTTAACATCTTTTGGACCCGTGGAGTCAGACCCACCTGGGTTCAAATCCCACCTCTGCCACTCCCCAGCTCTGTGGCCTTGGGAAAAGTAATGCCTTGTGTATTCGTTTCTTATTGCTGCCGAAACAAATGACCACAAACTTGGCTCCTTAAACAGCACAAACTTTTCACCTTACAGTTCTGAGGAAAGGTGGCAAAATCAGTCTCTCTGGGTTAAAATCAAGGTGTCTGCAGGGCTGTGCTCCTTCTGGCTCCAAGGGAAAATCCAGTTCCCTGCCTTTTCCAGCATCTAGAGGCTTCCTGCGTTCCTTGGCTTGAGCCTTGCATCACTTGGACCACTGCTTCCATCACCGCATCTTTCTGACTCTGGCCCTCCTGCCTCCCTCTTATAAGGGTACTTGGGATGACATTGTGTCCCTCTGGGTAATCCAGGACAGCCTCCCCATCCCCAGTCCTTAATCACATATGCAAAGCCCCTTTGCTATATATGGGAACCTAGTCACAGGTTCTGTGGTTTAGAGCGTGGACATCCCAGGCAGAGGCAGGGAATGTTAGCCTACCACACCTCAACTTCCTCATTTTGCAGATGATAATCTGTACCTCCCAAGTCTGCCGGGAGGACCAATTACATTACAAAGTACCCAGCCTGGTACCTGGCACAAAGTTTAAAATGAGGTCCTAAAAAAAGTCTCTGCCCTGTTCCCATTCCGGTCGTCTTTCTCTAGAATCGCAGGTACCCATCCCCAAGCCTGGCTCTCCGTGGGGACTTCAAGAATCCCTGTAGAAATAAAACACGGGGGTGATGGATGGCTCTGACCTCCCAAGTGCCGAAGCAGGGCTGTTTGCAAATTTAAAGGCTTCTAGGCAGCAGGGGGAAGAATGTGCGCAGAAACGTGGAACAGTGTGTGCAGGGACATAAATTCCAAGTGGTTTTTGTTGGGAAAGCTGAACAGAAAGTCATTCCATCTGCATTCCCCACGTCGGAACTGCTCTCCCAGGTCGGCTGGGGCTGAGACCCATTCCAGCAATGGAGCACCTCTCCCCGGAGGCAGGGCTGAGGCCCTCGTGAGGGGGCAGGGCAGACTGAGAGCCCCGTCCCCTCACTGCCCAGGCCTGGGGGGTGATGGCTCCGGGCGACAGGGGCTGGAGCAGCAGATGGCTAGTCCAGAGCTCAGATGGCACGCCTTATCTTCTGGGAAGAAGTGAGAGTGCTGAGCGGGGTCAGGGGAAGGGGGTACAGACCCCTCCTGCTTCTCCCTTCACCAGAAGGCTCTCACCCAGCACAGTTTAAACCCATTTAAATCCAATACTCTTATCAGTAAAACATCTTTCAGCATGCCCTCCAATAAATGTGTATTTCTAAATTATATGGCATGAATTAATTTATTTGTATAATAACGCACAAATATATGATGCACATTAAAACGTTCCAAAAATATAAACACAGCAAAGTAAAAAGCTAAAAATAAATATAAATAGAAGACCAACATTGTGACCGCACATTCAAATACATGAATCAGTGGGCACGCTTCACTTTGGAGGTAGTAGAAACTATACTTGCATTTTGTTGCTCTTCTGTTTCCTCAAATCTTGCTTATTCGTGTGTCCAGTTCAGTGAGCTCCTCTCCTGCCTGGCAGGGTTGGTATCTTGTTTCTCCTCCTGGCTTATAAAGTTGCCAAAGGCTAAGAGCATTTATGTTTTGGGCGGTGCAGAGTGCAGGGCACACAGCTGGCGCCTAATAAAGTCGGTCAGTATTTTCTGAACACGTACTTTGACCCTCAGGTTTGTGGCCGGCACCGGGGGTTCAAAGAGCAAGATGTGGTCCCACCCTCATCCCCAAGCCCAGTTCAGGCAAAGCCACCCTTGGGAGTGGCACCAGCTCTGGGTGGTGCTGGGGCAGGGATGGAACGCACCTCTGGCACCAAGGCAGGAGGATGCATCGCTCCAGCTCGGCAGGGGCAGGTGAGACAGGGAAAGTCTGCAGGCAGGAGATCTGTGTACTCTTGTGTAGAGACTTGGTGGCAGGAGCTACTGCACAGTCCAGGGGGTTCACTGAGCCCTCAAGGGCGAGATCCGCCTGAGGCTCAGGCCAGGTGAGGCCTGAGGGCTGCCAGTGTTGGCTCTGCCCCTGACCCCCGGGACCTGGCTTTAGGTTGCTTATCTGGGCAATGAGGAGGGTGGGCTGCCTGCTCTGTGGGGTCCCTTCCAGCTCTGACATTCTTGGTTCAGTCCAGGCTCATCCAGGCCCTGCCCTGCCCTTTTCCATCTTCCAGCCTGAGCCCCTCAAAACACGGGGCCACCTGAGAGGTGAGTGGACACTGCTCTGGGGTTTCTGAGATGTTGCAAACAACTAGCAGTTCCTTCCCGAGAAGTAGGGGAGGCATGCTGAGCCCCGTGCCCTACACCCGCCGCGCTCCACCATAGGTGCCGGGGAGAAAGTGCCACCCTCTCCTCGGCTCCCGTGACCCCCGCGGCATTCTGTGAATGAGGCTGGAAGCAAAGCATCAGAGGGAGGGAAACGAAACCACGCGCCCCAAAATAGCTCTCTGAAGGCTGCCTAATCCCATGTCTTTGCAGCCGAGACGGTCTGTTATTTTGACACAGCAGAGCGAGCTACCCGATGGATCCTTCTGGAGTCTCCCTCTTGGGAGTGAGCTTGCAGTGTGTGCGCCTGAGGACAGGCTGGGTCAGGAGTGAGTGTTCTGGTCATGGGGCAATGGATAAAGCCCTTGGACCCAGGATGGAACGCTGCGGGCCTCCTTTTGCAGCTTTCCTTGGCGGAGGGACAGTTAAAGGACAGCCTCAGGGCCAGAGGCACCTGATCACGATCCAGTGAGCAGAGACGTGGAGAAATGCCGCCCCTCCCCTCCTCCGCCCCCCCACCCTGATGGTCACCAGGACTAAGAGCAGAGAACGAGCCCCAAAGAGCTCCACCGAGCCAGGCCGTTGTGCCAGCTGCTCCACAAAAGCTCACCGACACTGATAATTAGGGCTACAAACTCAGGTGTCTGACATGCGCTGTGCTGATGGATTTCCATGAGGGGCTGGGGGGCCCACGGACAGAATTCAAAGGGTCTGGACACTTGGATGGGAAAAAATTTTACACCTTTATTTTCGCTAACCTTTGGCCAGAACTTAGCATTTTCTGCTGTTGTGAATGTAGGCAGAGGACCTCAGATGTTGTAGCTGCGTCTGTGATTTGCCACCAGCAGAAATCCCGTCTTCCCATCACAGCGTACTGGTTGCAGATATCTTCGATTATTGTTTACGCTCATCACGGCTTGGGAATTATGCTGGTTGACAGGCCTGTCACTGGATCTTGCTGAACGTGTTAAAGAAGCACCTGTGTTACTAGATCGCAAATTTGATGTTTTCAAAAATCTTTTGATAACTGTATTTCAGTGTAGTTGGTTTCCTCTGTAATCTTATGTTTTCTCTCTAACGCATCTGAAAATGGTGCTCAGGGGAGGGTTCATAAGCCTCACTGGATTGCCTGAACAGAGACGATCGGGATCTGCTTTCCCTGCAGAACCTGGTGAGATCCTCCCACCCAAACAGCCAGTGTGGTGGGTGCAGGGCTGGGAGGACTCATGTGGTCCTGTAACATTTTGGGGGTGAAGATACCTTCGCTCAAACACAAAGTTTATCAGGAAGCCCAGCCCAGCCCGTGAGGTGAAGGTGGCGCTGCTCTGGCTGGAATTGGAAGTGGGCATTTCTTGCAGCTCCCTGACCGCTCCACCCACCACTCCCCATCAGATGCCCTCCTTCCCTCCCCTCCCACCCCCCACTTCCTGGCAACCTCCGTGGAGTGCCTGCGTTTCCACAGAGCGCGTCTGCAAAGCGCTCACTGGGGACCACAGGGGCAGCACCACTGACTCACCTTGCTGGCCGCAGAACTGCTCATACCGTCCCGCCCATGGGAAGTCCTGTGGGCAGGTCTTGTGTCATTTATAAACACAAGCCTCCCGTGTATGTGGGGGAAAAAAACGAAAAAAAGGAGAGAGAGGAGATCGTAGCCCAGGGTGGTCATCCCCATGAGTTCTGGGTTCAAATACTGGTTCCACCACCTCCTAGCTGTGTGGTGTGGCCTCAGTTCTTCTTTTGTTTTTTTGCTTTTTGCGGTACACGGGCCTCTCACTGTTGTGGCCTCTCCCGTTGCGGAGCACAGGATCCGGACGCGCAGGCTCAACGGCCATGGCTCACGGGCCCAGCCGCTCCGCGGCATGTGGGATCTTCCCGGACCGGGGCACGAATCCATGTCCCCTGCATCGGCAGGCGGACTCTCAACCACTGCGCCACCAGGGAAGCCCATCAGTTCTTCTTTTAATTAGCAGTTAGTGATAACAATAGCTCCCACCTTAAAAGGCTGGTGGGGGGATGAAAAGAAATAATGCATGTAAAGAGCTTCGCAGGCTCAGG